TCCAATAAGGTGGGTGTCTGCTAGGGGAACCTCTTAAAGGAGGAAGTAAAGGACTTGTAGGAAGCAGTACTTTGACTACTAGGGAGGGGTCTGGCAAGCCCTATTTATGAATAGGAGGAAGTTTGTTTTGCCTTGTTTTTTTTTACAGAATCAGGCTAAACACATGAGCAAAACCTAGTTAAATGTAGAACAAGATTTAAAACTTGCAGTTGCCCTGTGAAGTTAGCTATTTAATAATACATAGTCAACAATAATAAGCCTGGACTGAACCCAGCAACCTGTGTTCAAATCCAGGTTTAAACACTTCCTAGCTCTGACCTAGAGTAAGTTGCCTAAACTCTCTATACATTCCAGCCACTAGAATAGTCTATCCACTAGAAGTTACCTAAACTCTCTGTACATTCTATTCACTAGATAGCAGAAATAAAAAAGGTTATTTAATTGATGGTTGTGAAAAAGGATTAAGTGAGTCAATACTTAGCACTATACCCAGGACCTGTTTAAACACTATCATTTCTAATCTACAGGACAGGCATTGTGCTGGGCACTGCAGAAATGACAGGGACATGGTGGAACATACCTCTAACACTAGCACTCTGGGTGGCCGAAGCCAGAACAAGCCTGAGCCTAGTCTGGGCAATTCAGTGACTTAGCAAGATTCCGCCTCAAAATAAAAAATAAAAAAGGGTTGAAGATATAGCTCAGCACAAAGGCCCCAGATTCAATCTCCAGTATTAAAAAAAAAAGAAAAAGAAAAGAAATCATCATATTTTATTAAGTAATCTGAGAAAAGGAAGGACTGCACTACACAGTCACATGGAAAGGACATGTGAATACTTTGAGGGTGAAGAAAATCCTCCTTAGATAAATAATCTAAGGTTAGATGAGATTTATGATTGTCATCTGTGTGTTATTAAATAAATTTACATAGAGCCATACTACAACCCTTTAATACTATCACACAGTAACTTGAAAACATAAACCAAGTCATAGTTGAAAATTTCACTTCAAGCCCACAGATGTGGGTGTAGGGTCCACCAGCTTCCTTGTTGGCAGTTTGCCACCTAGAAAGTGTGTAAGTCTGTGGCCTGTTGAATAAAGAAGATTCTGGCAACGCGACAGACTTAGCTGTACTCTTCTGTATTTGCAAAGTGGGAGTTGTAATGGAATCTACTTCCTGGGGTGGTCTGGGGATTAAATATGCATATAAAGCACTTAGCACTATACTTAGTACATAATCAGCACAAATAAAACAAACTATTATTTTATGACCACTGTTCCCTTGAGGCTTCTGGGATCTTCTGGGGTACAGTAGCTCTGAAATACATGTGATTGTAATGAGTTTACGTGTTGTTCTGTCCAGGTCACAGGATTTCCCATCCAGATGCCATACACGGATGTGCAGTCCATTATTGATGCTGTTTATCAAACTGGAATTCACTCTTCTGAGTGTCCTGAGACAGAATTTGCTTTAGCAGTGTATATTCACCCGTACCCGAACAACATATTATCCGTGTGGGTCTACTTGGTATCCCTAGTCCAACAGCACTGAAAAGAAAAAGGGAAAAGCGAGAGACGATACCATGTCCCCTTGACAGGAAGCCATCACCATTTTTCTGTTAACAGGATTTTGCTGCTTGTCTTTAAATCCAACTAGGTGCTAATCTTAATGTTGATTCAGTTA